GAATATAAATTATTTATAAATACGTATGTCAAGTTATATTTTTATTACTACGTAAAATATATTTAAGAGTTTACGACCACTGTGCTGGGTGAGACGTTGTTGAAACAAAAAAAGTTATGCATTCCATCACGTACATAAACAGTGTCGTAATTCGCCAAGTGCAAATCAGCAAATTCGTAAAATTTTTGTTTATTTTGAACAATCCGGATAATCGAAAATCCGGATAATGGAGGTCCGGATAATGGAGGTTCTACTGTATTTAAAACAATAAATGCTTTCTAATTTCATGTTACATCACATAAATAAATATGTCATTAAAATCAAATCATTTATTTAACTTTATTTTTTTAATTTTGTAAATTGTTAATATAATAAAATTCAATAAATGCAACTTTCTAAGAAATGTGTTATTAGATAACAAAATACAGCTTCATTTTTACAAAGTAAAAAATTGTGAAGGAAAAAATAGCATACATATTAATCTGTTTTGCATATTGGAATAATTACATAATTGAGAACTTGCAATATTTTAGCAAGTCACATGATTATTATATTTTTTCTGTAATTTAAATATTTTATTCAGGTAATAATTATTACAGTAGAGCGTTGTTTATCCGAACCAATGGGGACTGTGGTTGTTCGGATAACTTATCTTTTGGATAATCGATTATGTATGAAAAAATATATTAATCTATCCCATGTTGAAATTTTTCTCCGTTGCGTGTCGCTTCGCGTTGAATTTTTTTCGATGTTAAGCCTAACGTAAACTTTTTAAAATAATAATCGTGGCTATTATATCATTAAAAATTATTTCTTTATAAATTATTTTTTACAAATGAAATAAATATATTGAAAAATATAAAAGCCAAAAAATATATACTTTAGAAGTTGATATACAGTAGATTCCCCCCTATAACGCGGTAGATACGTTCCGCTTTATAAGAATTTCGTGTTGTAGGAATCCTTAAATACATGAACAAATCACAGCCCGACACGTGTGAAGTTTACGGACTACAGCTGTTTGAAAGGTTTTCTTCCATAAAATTAATCAATTTTAGACTAATTCGACTTAATATTTCCAAAATACGTATAATTTTTTGGGAATAATCCATATAAACTATGCTATAAACAAAAATTGTAGAATTACTTACCGAGTGTGCACCGTTCTTCGTTGCCATTGCTTACCGAGTGTGCACCGTTCTTCGTTGCCATTGTTTTCGTCGCGGAGCAGCACACCAAATGGCGGCCACGATTTCTGATAAGTTCTTTTTCTGCAAAAATTCGTTGAACTTTGGAGACATTATTAGTAGAAATAATTTTTATGGCCGTTGAATAAGAAATGTTTTTTTCACAAGAAATGTATAAAATTACAGTGTTGTATTAGACTTACGGTACCTAATTTACATACTGTACAGACGATAGTAAACTCATCTTACTCACCTAAACTCTCCGTAGCATGGCGCTAGACAGCGGAAAGTACATATATAATTATAATAAAGTTAAAATAAATTAAGTTAATATTGTACAGACAATAGTAAACTCAACTTACCCATCTAACTCTCCATAGCGTGTAAGTAGTTCGACTGCTCGTCTACTATTGGTCCAGATTCGACCAATCCTGTCGCGACACGAGTCGGCGATGACGTTTTATCATGTTTTACACATCCCTTTTAGCATTTTTATATCAATACCGTCGCAATTTTTTCACCACATTATAGGAACCTGCGTTATAGGGGGGGGGTCTACTGTAGTATCAAAAACATTTGATTCAGCACCACACATAGTTCTCAGAAAAACATCACACAAAAATGCCAGGGCTGCCAGCTAAAACACACACACCAACAAAAAAAATATTGGAGTAGCCCAAGATATAGCCAAAGATTGCAGCGCCACAGCACTAGCGAAAATTTAAATTTGCCGACTGAAATGCTTTCGGTTAACCGACGTTTCAGATAACCTGCTTTCGGATAAACGACGCTTTACTGTATTAAGCTTTTCTTATAATTTTGTTGTAAGAGAAGTTTATAAATTATTGACAAGACTATGTCTTGTTTATAAAATTATACTGCCTGCTGTGTTACCAGCTTAGAGGTATGAAGGAGTACATGTCAGGAGTTGCAATTTGGCACCAAGTATTAAGTGCCCAAATCATGCACGCATAAAAAAAACCGGACTTGTAGGTACTCAGGGGACCGAGAACCAAATCAAAATAAAATACAAAATGGCAACTCTACAAACAGGCAAACCAAAGTCAAGTGGTGACAGTACCACCCACAGTTGTTCTAGGAAATGGACTCTGACCCTAGGACTGAACACGTATTTTCTTTCTTAAATAAAATTTGTAATCTAATTTTGTAAATTTGGGAGTGCTTCAAATATGACATTAAAACAGGATTTTGTGTTGTTACAAGCAGGTTTTTTAACATTATCTAGTATAGTAAAATCGTGGGGCCAATGAAAATTTGATGTTATATTAGAGTTGTTGTTATATCCAATGACATTATAATCGGGTTAAACTGTATATTGTTTGTGCAAAATAAAAAAAATAATTTCGGACGATACAATAACCATGATTATTTTTTTCAAAAACAGGAAATTTTCGTTACTAGTGTACCACCTGTCCGGTTTTCACTTGGACAGTTCGGGAATTAACTCACTGTTCAGGTGAACTATTAATTTTGTCCGGGAATTTTGTATAAATTGTGAAATTACGATGAAACAAAGTTCTTGCAAATATTTTTACAAATTTACACTATTTTAACACGTCTAAAATAGAGCTAAGTTATCTGTACCTGTTCTTTCTTAATTTATGTTACTTACATTACTCCTACGCAAGTCCCTAGTCCTTAACTCTAACTGATTTACAACTGGCATGCATGTTATTCTTGGCATTGTAAAATGACATTGCGCATGCGTCAGGAACTTCTGTTTGAACAAACCTGACCTGCCGTCCAGGTCAGCAATTTTGAAAAGGTGGCAACACTATTCGTTACACATCGACAAAAATTCAACCAGGGCATACATGCAACTGAGAGAAATTTCGAAATTGCGTAGGTTAATTTCATGGAAAATGTATCGTGGGTGATCTCGTGTCATGGTTTTGGTATCGTGTCCAATAGCAGTGATACCAAAGAAGTTTGGAGAATGAGAACAAGACCTGCCTTGAGCGTCAAAGTGATTCTGCTTAGTAGTGAGTCTCCAAGACATAGTCTTGTCCCAAATACAGCCTTGCCATTCTACTTGTTCAGTATTAAAACAGAAAAAAAAAATGTTTCGCATGTAACAGAAATAACCCAAAATTAATATTACCTTAAAACTACCTTACAATCTAAATGGGAGGAAAGCAGGAAATGGAGATTAGAAGGATAGAGATAGAAAGACTAATAGTGAAAATACCCAGGATTTTTGATGGATACTGTTCCTCGCTTGCGAGATGGGGTCCAGAGGAAGTCTTCTTGCTTTTGATTTCCTGTCTTTTATTACAAATGTAGTTCCGTTGCTTATCCAAACTTGTGATGATCAAAAGTCTCTTTTTAGGAAAGGATAACTAATATAATTTTTATCCTATTGAGCCACACAGTACTTGCTGAAGCTTAACCTTTTTCACTCGTCCATTCTTACCTCCTCAGACCATGAAGACATCTGTGCATCTATCCAAAATCAAGTTTAAGAATGGCCTCCTTCTCCCTTCGAGCCCTTTGGGTCATCGTTGTTCTTTCTATTCTTACCGATGTTTCTCAGAACAAACCCCCACGTTCACAAAAGAAGGATTAAAGGGGATAGAAAGTTCTAGAATGGAGACAAAGAACAAAGGAAAGATGTTTTAATTATTTTAATTCTCAACATGTAAATTTTAAATAATTAAAAAGGCAAGCAGCCACAGTTGTACAGTGCATTGACTAATGGTTCAGCAGCACCCATGTTGAAAGTCTGATGTGATTTGGTGCAGAGTTGCCTTTTATTGCATGGTTACAAACCTGTTTAGTCACCAGCAGTCACATTCTTGCATCAGCCATGGGCACCCAAACTGTGCACATGCTGCCAATGTCTGTCTGGAATTTAAGTATTCCCAATAAACCTTTCAAACTGTTGCACAAGAAAATCCAAGAGCATTGGCCATCTTGCTGATAGAGTGAACCCTTCTTCTTGCTCCAATAATCTGTTCATGATCAAACAACAATAAATCCTTTATACAGCCCATTGCTAATTTAACCAAGCTCACACATAACTGATACGTATTGTCATTCCTCTGGCATCACAAATGTTCCAACTGTGCAAATGTTTCAACTCAAAACATTTCCCCTGAATAAAAGGTAACAACATTGCATGTGTTGCTGTTTGTAACTTTTTGGCATGTCAGTTTAAATATATATTGATGTGAATGGACAGCACAGTTGAATTAGACAGTTTTATCTTCTGGATATCTGACTATTATGAGTATGTTTTGCAGATATATTCTGTTAATAAAATTTTTCTTCCAAAATGTGAAATTTTTAGCTTTCTTACTGCTTCTCAGCCACTGTATATCTTACTAAACAAAATTTTTTTTACTAACTTTTTAAATTTTTGGATGTCATAAAAACATTTTCTTGTAAATTTGGTTTCTATTCAATTCCATTGAATTTATTTTCCACTAGGTAATTTCTTGCTCTGGGGATGGAGCAATAGTTTTCACTAACTTAGATCGCCCAGAAACAAGTCTAAGTAATATCTTCTCTTGTCATTTTGGAACAGCTTATGAAATTCTTACTGTGTCAAATGATCCTCATACTTTTCTTTCTTGTGGAGAAGATGGTACTGTTAGATGGTTTGATTTGAGAATAAAGAATTCATGCAATTTAGAAGAATGCAAAGAGGTTAGTACTATTAAATAATAAATTTTTTTTAAATATAATAAAATATTATTTGGTTTTTAGGATATACTTATCAATTGTCATGGTGCAGTTACTGCATTAGCTGTAAGCCCTTTTACACCACATCATTTAGGTGTAGCCAGTTCAGATGGTTATGTTCGTATATTTGATCGGAGACTTTTAGGAACTAGAGCAACAGGTAATCATACTACAGTGGTATCTTGTACTTCAAATGCTATAATTTCAAATAATTAATAAATTAATTTTTAGGTAGCTACTGTGGTGGAGGAATGCAAGCAATGATTACTAGATTTTCAGTACCAGAATTTGAAGGTCGTGGACGTAGAATTACATCATTATGCTATAGTCCTAGTGGTGAAGAAATGCTTGTTAGTTATTCTTCAGATTATGTTTACTTATTTGAAATCAAGGTTAGTAAATATTCTGTTTCAAACCAACTTCTAGTTTAATTTGAAATTTTTGTTTTGATTATTAGCAAGAAAGTTAATAATCAAAAATTACAATGTTAAACTATTTTTAATATTCATTATTTTTAGTATTCTTGTAGTAATTTTATTATCTTATTGAATGGAGTGAAGCAGAGCTCTCTTAGTAACAGCTTTTACACTTGTGTGACAGTTAACTGCTCCAAAACCATTTAACCAATTTAAATCAGTTTTTGCAGCAAGCAAAATAAAATAAATAGCATTTAATCATTGTCTTGTTATCAAACTCAGTCCAATTCTTTGTCAGCATATTGTCAGTTGAAAATGAGTTGCCCTGTGATGATGTGAAAGAGGTGTCCAAAAGAATGAATTACAGTGGTATCTTGTACTTCAAACACTTCAGAGTTTCAACACAAAATTTGGCAAAGGTTTAGCTTGGAGTTCAAATGATGCTTCAAAGTTTAAATTGTGTATGTAGTGACAGAATGGTTTAATACATAAATGCAAATATCATGTGTCCAAGTCATCTATCGATATTGCTCTTGTGCTATGCTTGTATGGTTTCAGTGCTTTTTTTTGCTTTGTTTTTGGTGTTTGGTTATATATGCTTTTTTGTAATAAATAGAGCATACATATTTGATTTTCATGAAGATCAATTCAACTTTTGTCAAAATCAAGTTTTGTTCAACTTTTTACTTGTTTTTGAGCAATTATAATGTTTGAAACTATTATATTCTGTTGATAAAATGTTAAATTTAAACAAAAACAACCAATTGGGTTTCATTATGCTCTGCTATGAACATGTGTAAGAAAATACATGGCTAGTTATGTGAATATATTTTTATTTTGTTTTGTAACTTTGTAAAGTTGTTAAGCTCAGTTCACATTGAGTGATTTGCTGTCAAAAGTGAAAAGCAGAGTGAATAACACATCAGACATGATGTCATTTCTGGTGAATTTTACCATTTTCCAAATATTTTCAAAGTTTGAAACTCAAACCTTTTTGCTAGCGAAAAAATTTCACCACCAATTGTATTTTCACTAGTTGTCATGTGGTTCTTGTTGTTTGCAAGATGGCTACAGAAATTTTCTCGTAAAGTAGAGTAGGTGTAATTCATGTTTTTTTTTTTTTTTTTTTCTTATCTTTTGCAGGAGCTCTAAATGCATTCTGGGGATCAGTGATGAAATCATTGAATGCAAGTGGGAATCTAGTGTTACAATAAATAGAGGGAAAAGAACTTGGACTGTTCAGATGACGTATGAATCGACCATCCGATATAGAATATGGAGGAATCTTCGGGATGGATGTGTTGGACAAATTCCCAGAATAATTAATTGATATAGTGGAGAACATAAAAATTAAAAAGAAAATCTGAAGATTGTGAAATTTATTTATGTTATAGATTCAGAGAAGAGGATTGTGGTAGCTTAAGNTGCTTATCTTTTGTAGGAGCTCTAAATGCATTCTGGGGATCAGTGATGAAATCATTGAATGCAAGTGGGAATCTAGTGTTACAATAAATAGAGGGAAAAGAACTTGGACTGTTCAGATGACGTATGAATCGACCATCCGATATAGAATATGGAGGAATCTTGGGGATGGATGTGTTGGACAAATTCCCAGAATAATTAATTGATATAGTGGAGAACATAAAAATTAAAAAGAAAATCTGAAGATTGTGAAATTTATTTATGTTATAGATTCAGAGAAGAGGATTGTGGTAGCTTAAGGTAGATTGATTTGTCTCATTTAAGCAGTTACAAAAGGAACAAAGTGGAGCACATTTTCATAGATCTCCGCAGGTGTTTCGCAAACTAGATCGAATAATTGATTGATACTAGAGAATTCATTCAGACACCTATAATTAAAGTGACAAAGTAATTAATACGAACAGTACAGAATCCTGCAATGTTATGTGAGTGGCCTCAAGAAGCTGATAGGCTTATATCTAAAGGCTGGGATTTGTGAGAAGAGTACCTCAGAGTGGAATTCCCCTCTTCACATTATCCTGAAAGAATCCAACGAGTTGAGGGTCATACTCGACCTAAGAAAAATAAATGAAGTAACACAGCCCCAAGAATTCTCTCTAGCCCATGTGGACAAAATTTTAACAAGGTTCCAGGGGAGTAAGTTCTTCTCAGTAATTGACCTAAAATCAGGATACTTTCATATTCCCATCCATAAATCTACCCAACATTTCTTCACCTTCTCCACTCCATGGGAGAAATTCCAAATGTGCTGTCTCCCACCAGAGGAAAAGAATAGCAGGAGGTTTTTCTCAGTATGCCATGTTGAGGCTTTTGGGGAGATTTATTGATATAAACAGTTTTGTCTTTCAAGACAACATTGTGCTTTTCTCCCAGTCCTTTAACGATCATGTGAAACTTCTCAAAGAGGTGATCTCTATACTAGATCAAGCCAACTTGAAATTGCACCAAGAAAATCTAAATTTATGGTGAAGGAAGTGCAATATTTGGGACACGTAATTGATAGTGAAGGGATCCGACCTGATCTGGGAAATGTGAGTGCTATCAAGGAAGTTCAACCCCCTCATAACATAAAGGATATCAGGAGTTTCCTTGGAATGGTTGGATTCTTCCATAATTTTATCTTCAACTTTGCAAAGATGGCTCCCACCCTTACCTATTTGATGAAGAAAAATGTAAAGTTTTGTTGGGATAATTGGTGCCAATTGCATTTTGAGAAGTTTAAGAAACTATTATCTAATCCCCCTGTATTGTCCCATCCCAACTTTAACCTCCCTATTTTTATGCACATTGACGCTTCAGATGTAGGGGCTGGAACCGTCTTAGAGTAAGAGAGGGATAGGGAAGTCCTTTCCATTGGGTACTTCAGTAGAAAATTTCATGGGCCTGAATTAAACTACTCAACAATTGAAAAAGAATGCTACTCGATTGTTCTAGTGCTTCGCCATTTTAACACCTCATCTTAGGTAAGAAGGTGACTGTGTTTTTGGACCACAAACTTCTAACTTATATTAAAAAATATGAAAAATCACAATCGCCGTCTCATGAGATGGGCCATTGAACTGTCTAACTTTGATTTAGTCGTAACACATGTTCAAGGAAAGGTGAATCCAGTTGTTGATTTGCTCTCTAAGCCACATGGCAGTGGAGGAAAACCTCCCTTTGATGGCATCAACATCAATTGCATCAGTGACGTCTTATGGAGGAAAGTAAAAGAATCCCAGATTGTGGACAAGAAATTTAGCCCAATGAGGAAACATTTAATCAAGTCCCAACCCACCTGCGATGATTCCTTCAGTGGTGGCATATTTCCCGAATACCAGTGATGGTGACGTCTTAATCCACATACAACTGGGATGGTTTGGCATACGTAAATGGAGGCGTATTTGCATAGGAAAAACTGTAATCAACAATGTGATAAGAGCATTTCATGAATCCCCGTTAGCTGGACATTATGATAAAGATAAGACATGCGGCCTGTTAAGCCATTATTATTACTTCAATAAAATGCAGAAATATGTTGAAAGGTTTGTAAAATTTTGCAAGATTTGCCAACAACATAATTTGCATCAAGGAAGAGCTCCCTTTCAAGAAACCAAAGTGGTGGACTATCCATTCCAGAAAGTATCTATCGATGTAATTGGTCCATTAAATCCCACCCATAGAGGTAATAAATACATCCTTACCATCATCAACATATTCACTCGTTACACCAAAACCATCCCTTTAAAGAACCAATCTGCAACTTCAGCCTCCAATGTGTTTTTCGAGTCGATAGTTTGCAGATATTGTCATACTGAGATTGTCATATTGGATTGGGGCACTAACTTCATGTCTTCTTCTTTAGTGAGATGTGAAACATCCTTGCTGTGAAGCACAATGTTACTGACTCCTATCACCCTTGTTCAAATTCTATACGTAAACATGTAAATAAATCCATTAATAGCATTTTAGCTAGAATATCGAGGGAAAGTAACAATAACTGGGATGCATTCTTACAATCAGCTGTACAGTAATACCCTGAACTTACGCAATAGGTGGGACCGAGCGATGACCGCGTAAGTCGAATTTGCGTATGTCGGTATAATTTTGCAATTTGTGTATGTAAGCTAATAAATGTTCTCGTTAATCTTATCTCATCTTTTGATTCGTTCATGGTTGCAAGAAATCACCACATACAGTCTCTCAAGTCTCCGTAGATATAACAAACACAGAAATAAATAACACAAAATAAATTGTAGCTATGTGTCAATTCGCGTGACATGTCCAAACATGTAAGCTGAACAATAGTGTGGGGGGAGTGAGTAATCAAGAGTTGCGTGGCGCTCAAACAAAAGACGAATCGACGAGATTTGAAAATCACATAACTTCGGGTTCGCAGTCAGGGTAGCGTAAGTCGAGGTATTACTGTATTTGCATATAATAATGCTACCCTCTCATCACAAATGAACCGAGCAATTCAAACTCAACAGCGTCCGGATTTATTCAAATTTTTCATATTCATGTTCGATCCAACTGATTTACCTGAAGAAGAACCCAGAAGGGGTTAAGAAAATGTTCGTTTTGGAAGATTATACTCTGTATGTACCAGTTATAGGTTCAAGTAGGTCATATTTTGCTAACCACTCATCTATGAATGAATCACGATCATTCCTTCTTTATGGGTTCGACCCTAAATTTCTTCATGCTTTCCCTGTCAAACAGACAATTGAAAACCCAAGTATTCGGGAGTATCATGACTTCCTAATATCGAAGTTATGTTGTATCATGAATCAGCTTATGAACTGAGTCATAGTCATAACAAAATTAATCGTAATCATATCAATACGGGAAGGAAAGTGCAGGGATTTGAGGTAGGGCAAAGGGTTTGGATGTTGAGAAAAGGGAAAAGATGACAAGTTTTCACCCAAATATTTGGGTCCATTCCATGTTTATCGCCTCCTTGGGCCTGTTAATGCTGAGATTGAAGGTTGTGATAAAAGGGAAAAAAACTGTATATATTGATGGACTGAAACCTTGTTTCTCAAATTTCCTTGAGCCCAGGTAGAGACATAATGTGCCAACAGGAAATGAAGAAGTGCCATCCAAGGAACCCAAAGATGATGATGAAGGGGAAGAAGACATCCCTCACATTCCGATAATTCAATGTGCAAGATACAACTGGCATAACCAACCTAACCATCAGTATAAGGGAGACAACAAGCATTCGAGTTGTGAAGTCGGATTGGAGAAAATAAACGAGATTTCCCACCCGTACAATTTAAGGGGATGGAAAGTGGACTTTCATCATCTTCACTTTGGAAAATAATTTGTGATTTCACATGTATTAATGTAATTGTTTATTTCACCTATATTAATGTATTTTGTTTATTTTGTTAATATTATCTTTGATGGGAGCATATGTAACTTGGTTAAGGCCTTGTTATTTTTCTCTTTCACCACTTTCATTCAAAACTTTACTGTTGGCTTTTATTCATCTGGCCTCACCCTGACTGGTTGATCCAATGGTCCGATGTGTGTCTAAAACAAAAGGAGTAGCACTGGATTGGTCAAAAGGGGTCAGAATGAAAGGAGAGGTAGGGGAATGCATCAAGGGATGATCATCTTTTGGAGAGAGGAGCTGGAGGAGAGGACATGTGTGTCTAAGTAATGGAAAGGAAACTCTCTTGAAGAACAGACTCAAGGTTTATTTTTGCCAGTCCTTTTGGTTTTCCCTTTTTCTTTTTCTATCTAAATCAGTTCTTCTGATTTCTTATAATAACCCCATCTTGATCCAGTTTAATCTTATAACACTCTCCCCCTCCTCTCACTCTCTCTCTCTCATGTCATCACCCCCTCTTTTAACGCAAGGTTGGCAATCACCTTGTTTTAACAGCTGCATTCACACTGCAAAGATCAATTAGTTTGAAAGCAAATGTTTTCAACTTATTAAACGCTGTTAAAAACATTTGCTTTCTTATGTTGAATTTACTAATTGTAGCTGTATATTTGTTCAGTGAATGGTTGTCTCTTTAATCCGAAAATGTTTCTCTCGGTAGACTATCTTACAGCAAGTCAGGTCCAGAAACTCTTTTATTGTATTTTCAATGGAAAATGAAAACCAGTTTGGAAAATGAAACCAGTTCGAAATGCATATGAATTGAAAATACAATAAAAGAGTTTCTGGACCTGACTTGCTGTAAGATAGTCTACCGAGAGAAACATTTTCGGATTAAAGAGACAACCATTCACTGAATTTGCTTTCTTGTAAAATCTTGCTGGAGATTGGTTTAATGCATTTTGTTTATTAATGCATACCAAGTTTTAAATAGTTGAATTTACAGTTAACTGCTATCTATGTTGTTACTGTAGTGCCCATTGACAAAGCCATGCTAATGATTATAAAATCTGCACCAATGAACATACAGAGTGGTCCCAGAGTGTGTGGAAAAAGCATATTCTAGAGTTTATAATAGTGCGCCAATATAGGTATCTGGATAATGCATCTGGTCGTTAAGCAGTCAAATAGATCAAGAGTAGCTGCATCATGGGCCAATGAGAAACAGGATGGTATTGTAGATATATTAGCTTGCATTTGGATTGTAGCATTGTAGCATAAAATATTATTTATTTTTAATATAGATAGCCCTATCAATAATAATCCTAACAGATTGAAAGTAAAAGATTCAGCAAACGTAGCCAGAGAAAACCAGAAGAAAGAACAAAAACAATTACAAAAACAAGATATGTTGGTATCAGTGGGTCCAAGAAAGCGCAATCATAGATAGCTATCACAAAGGCTGTAGATGGCACAAGCAAGCAGTTGGAAGGAAGGATTGAATTATAGTGAGAGTATCTCAGATGACTTACAGACTTACAGCTTCACTGATACCACCTCTACACTACTACTCTTCACTAAGAGGCACAGAGCATGCAATCTTATCAGGCATCATTTATAAGGGGAAAAGCAGAGATGAAACTCCATTCTTAGTGTCCTTAAGATGTCTACCATTAACCGTCTTACATTGGTAGCACTACCATAAACAAAAACAAAAAATATATATATGTATAGCCCAAAAACCTGCAACAACAAAAAACATATGAGCACATCATTATATCTGGACAAAAAAGGCAAACACTCCTATTTGATCTTAGTTATGGAAAAGCAGATAGCTGTCAAACTGGATGTTAGTTTAGGGAGCCATCTCTCATGATAACATAATAATATTAATGTTATATTACACAGTATATAATAATAAGTTTTATATTGTAATTAATAATAAATTTTTATAACTTGTAGTAGCATATTGTGCATTTATAAGGATATATTACTTTAATAATATTTCAGGATGATGGCAGGAAAGAAATTCCTTTGAAAACTGAAACAGAGCCATTAAGATTAGAAAAAAAAAATTTCAAGCAGGAGGTAGCTATACTTTCTGAAATATTAATAAATATTATTTATTTTGTATTGAATTTAGCATATTTTATAATTTACAAATATAAACTATTAGAAATCAATTCTATATTAATGTAATTTTCTGTAAAGTAAATACAAGATTTTGTTGTATTAATTAACACATTGTCTTGTATTACACAGCATGTCAACAAGTACCATGTAAATCTGAACTATATATAAATTTGTTCCCTACCTCAAGAACCCCAGATGAATATCTAGACCAGTGGTTCTCAGCCTTTTTTGACTTGCCTACCCCTTGGCAGCACATTTTCCTAAGTTTTATTTTGTGTGTTTATTAAACAATGGCATCTTGGTCAATTATATAGCACTGTACAATTACATGTAAAAAACCTTTTTTAAAATAGAAAACATTGGAGGAAGGACACAGATAGATATAATAAAAATATAATTATATTTGAAACTAAGCATCGAGTGCCGTGACATTCAGATTTTGCATTGTTGCCAAAGGCCTCAATGCAAAATCTGAATATTCTTATAGTACATCTGCCATTATTAATTTTTTCATGTACCTCTAAACCAGCAAGTGCATACCCTTAGTTGGGAATAGCTAACCTAGACACTTATTAATCATTTACAATCAACAGAAAATGTTAAAATGTAAAATGTTTCATAGTAATGAATAACATTTTAGTCTAATTCAATAATTGTAATGATAGGATATAAATCCTTGCTCTTTTCACTGCTACAAAGTAAATCATGAGGCAGGGATGGATTTACAAGTAATTATGTAAGCTGTAGCTTAACTATGCACAAATTATAAAATATAAAATTTCAATCTGTATATTTTATTAAGAGGCTTAGGCAATTTTATCATGATATAAATATTATCGATTTACAGAGAATTTTAATTTAATTACAATAAAATATTATTTTAAACATTTATTCAAATATTAGATTTCTGAAATTACTTTTAAGATTTCTAATTTCTGTGTGAAAATGTTTATTTTTATTACATCAGAGTCAAGGAAAATGTTTAAACAAGTCATTTTTAAGCAGATTGAGAGTGACAGGTGATTGGTCTGATACAGGACCAAATTCAAGAACTCAACATGAAATAAGAGGTATATATTATATTTATTTTGGAATTAAATATTCATAAATTGTATAAAATGAATTTCTTTAACAGAATCTGGAGAACCACCACCTAGATCAACACTTCATTCAAGTTTAATGCAACGTATGTGTGATGTTCTTACACGAATGTTTAACAGTTCAAATTCTTCTTCATCTCAAAGTAATCACTCAGTAGAAGATATTAATCTTCCAAGTGGTAGTGAAGAATTGAAGAGTAATTTAATTTGATTATTTTTATATAAATTTTCAATAAATTAGTTAATAAAATATTATTTATTTTTAATACAGATAGCCCTCTCAATAATAATAATCCTAACAGATTGAAAGTAAAAGATTCAGCAAATGTAGCCAAAGAAAGCCAGAAGAAAGAACAAAAACTCAAAGTAAAATTGGAATCATTGTTTTTTTTCCAGTTGATATATGAAGAGTATTTAAATCAAGTACTTTACAATTATGATGTGAATTAAACTTTGATTGATGTGTTCTGTGAACATTGTGCAGTCAAAAAAAGAAGAGGGAAGACAAGATTTATGCTGTGCAACTTGTGAAGAGGATGATGACGATGATGATGATATGGAAGACGTTCCTAAGAAATACAGCTGGAATCAGAGCGTGAGAAACCTTCAAGATGAACTATCAACAAGAAGAAGGAACTTTTTAGAAAAGTCAGTTAAACTTATCAATTTATTTTTTGAATTTATGTTTTGTAAGTATATTATAAATTAATATATTTTACGATTACTTAATTAACACATAAAGTATTTAAAAAAAACTGATTGTCATTTCTCAAAATAAACTTTCTTAAAATGCATATTGTATTTTACATGTAGTAAGTAAACAAAGTATTTTACATATAAAAATATTAAATTAAATTAAAAAGTTTATCAAATTATTTCTAATACAAGTACAGCAATAAATTTGAAAGCAATTTTTATATACTATAGTAAATAAATAGCTAATAAAATTACCTGTTGATGCAATTGCATCTTATACTATACATGACAGTCAATTGAAGAATGCATTTAGAGCACGTCCCTCATCATAAGTTGTGAAGAAGGGTATCATACATTATGTACCAAGCTTTAAACTATGATTGAATATTTGATCAGCACTCCCACAAGGTGGCACTGGTTACAGTTGAGCTAACTTGGTCTTGAAAACAAGGAACATTCCTTGTTTCCAAGGCCAAATTTTAGTCAATGAGTAAATATTGTTCATTAGTTTCTTTTATATTTGCAGAATAGGCTAGAAGTCAAATTTTTTGTTGTTTGTTGATAATGGAATTTGGGACTACCTTCAGGATTAGGAAAAGAGCAACACAGACAAAAAGGGGGGCACTTGTTCCAATGTATGGGTGCCCTTAGGCCTACTTCAAATAAGATGGCCAAAGCAGTTAAGGCATCAGCATACTACTCCAGAGGACCTGGAATTGAATCTGGACAGTGCTAAGCAATAATCCAATATGGGCCTTATATTGGCATGACCCAGGTTAGGATCAGTTATTTTCAAATTAAATGTTGCAAAATGCACATTGTGATGGGCTCAATATCAGTTTGTGTGGGCAATCCCATGATGTTCAATCTGAATTGAGGCCAGTTATTTTAAAATTTCAAGTAACAGATCATGTTTACCATGACTTTAGAGTAAGACTTTTTTAAATTTAATACAATAGACAGTTAAATTAATAAAAGAATACAAGCATTGTCTATTTTTATCAAATAAAATATAACATGCAGTGCCCTTGTGACATGCCAATAGAGGTCAACATGTGATGCACAATTTTGATGAGACGAGACAACTATCGCCATACACTTCACTTTTACTGAGATGACCAACAAGGCAAGATGCCTATCATCCAAATTATATATGATCACTACTTTGGTAGCTGCCAAAAGAAAGCAGAATGGAAGCATACAATATGAATATGAAATTTTTCTTAATCATGTACTATACATACAAATTATGGAGCTAGGAGTAATATTGTATATGAAAAATTTCCAGATTCTTTCTTTTGTTGACTCTGCTAGTAGTCACTATGTTAAATTTTCACAGTGAGACGTAAACATTCCTATATGGGCAATTGTTCAAGTAATGATCAGCCAACAAAGTTCTTTACCTGGCTGACACAATTTCTAGATATAATCCTTTCATCAACCTTTTGCTGTGGAGTTTTGTAAAAGATGACGTTTATAGTTATATTCTTTTACTTGAAATGCTAGATAACTTAAAAGATTATATGTGGAAGAGAGTGCAATATTGCTGGTCATTTGCTCCAAAAGTTTGTTTTGCTTGCATGTGTTTCAAAATGATTTGAGTCATTCCTTGCTTTAAAATGATCATTTTAAAGCAAGGAATGGCTCAAAAATGAAATAAAACAGAACATAATGAACTATAAGAATCAGAAATTTATTGTAATTATGAACGTTTTTGGACTTGCCCTCCAATGGAACTACCAAATGTGTGTTAATGTAAGTAACTTAAAAAAATAACCAGTAAATAAATTTTTAAAATTACTTCCATTAGTTAGAAACAACTTGTGTATACAGATTATAGCAGATATATAATTTATACAAATCTAGCTTTGTGATATTTTAAACTTGGTTTGTGTAAAATTTTTTAATGTAAAAGTTAATGTGAAGTAATTATTAGAAAAAGTCCCAATTTGTTTTTTAGCAATCAGGACAATTTTTTAAATAAGTTTTTTCAACTTTAAGTTAAAGTTCAAGAATTTTTGTTTTAAAAATGAAAAAATTACCAAACATTGTCATTTTATTTTATTTAATAAAGATTTAATATATCTTTATTAAATAAAATAAAATGACAATGTTTGGTAATTTTTTAATAAAGATATATTTTAATATATCTTTATTAAAAAAATTTATTCATTAAATATGTAATCATGCATAAATAATAAAGACATCCATTTATTATTAAACAAGACAAAACAAAAAAGAATAAGCAAATATAAAAATGAAAACAGGTAATTACAAAAGTTGTTTATATATATATAATATCTGGCCTAATCCAAACATGTTTCAGTTGGTGGAGAGGAAATTTTTTTAGCTCAGAAAATATATGTTTTTTTGTATTTTTCAGTTGAATTTAAATGGTATTAATGACACAATTTTTTTTGTTGTGGAATTCTAAATCTTTTTGTATTTTTTTATAGTACTGTATTAATACTGTACAAAATTAATAAATCAGTGTTTCACATGGCCTATTAAAACAGCAGATCTATACCTGTACTTACACACAAAAACAGAAACTAAAGTCATTGATGGTGTTGGATCTAAATAAACCGGACCTGTTTTACTGCTTGCTCCTCATTATTTCAATTAGTTGGCTAATCTGAACAGGCGCGNTAACAAAGACATTCAGTATAAACTAGTTTCAACTAGACAAAACGGGTTTTAACAAAGACATTCAGTATAAACTAGTTTCAACTAGACAAAACGGGTTTTAACAAAGACATTCAGTATAAACTAGTTTCAACTAGTTAAAACGCGTTCTAACTAAAAACGGGTTTTGACTGTAACATATATATATACACACACAGTATTTTCAATAGATGAAATAAATATTTCTACTTCCCTCATTAACATTATCAACATTCCCTTATTAATTTAAACATAAAATTTATTAAGAAATATCAATTTAAAATATGAAAAGAGCAAAAATAAATAATAGAATTATAATAGCTAGCAAATAATGAAATTTGCGGAAAAGACATTAATATAGAATTAACATAGGAATTTTTTTTTTATCTAAAAGAAATTGATTTCTTTGCTCAAAAAATCCAAAAACAGAATTAATTTTAAATTTGGAATGAGAAAATAAAATAAAAACTGTAAAATTATAAAATTTACAATGTTTTTAGGTTTTTAAAGATTTAAATTTTGTATTCAAAAATTATATTTAATTTTAATCTTTATTTAAAAATCTTTCATATAATAATTGAATGCTTTCCAGACACGACTTAGAACCAGTAATTAATCTCCATTACAATGGGCAGGGTGTAACAAGTGGGCTAATTACTATGGGACTCTCAGAAGAGAGAGAGAGACAACAGCTTAATTTGCAAGAAAATCAAGCACAAAATATACAGAATGACAGCCAACCAAATGAAGGTTCTTCTTCGGTAAGAATTTCCATAATTCTAGCAGGTTTTTATTAAAGTATATCTTATATTTTCTTCTTAATAGTCAACAGCTTGTGTTAATCAAATATCAGTTCGCAGTGAACTGGCATCTCATTATAATCAAGAAGGAAGTAGAGATTCACAGAATGAAGATCTTTTTTCTGATGACAGTAGTGATGAAATGACGGCTGAAAATGATGAAAGGTAAAGCATTTGAGGCACTCAAAAGGCTTAATATTGCTATGAACATTGTTATCAGGTCCAAATAACAGTTTTGTTTTTGATAACAGATAAATTACAAATTTAGTTCATTTAATATTCATTTGCAAATATATTTGTAAATAATTTTATGAATTTCTTAATAAAGCAATAAATATGGATTTTATTGAAATAGTTGCTTTATTAAGAACACACAAGAAACATGTAATTTATATTGTTTCAGAAGAATACTCATTTTCAGCCTATTGTTTAGAAATGAAATTCTTATTGTATGACATTTTTAATTGATTTATAAATAAGTACCAAGAGTAAAAACTAATAATCATATTAGAATATAATTTACAAATACATTTTAAATGTATTTGTATGTTTCAAATTGCAATATATTGATTATATCAGAAATTGAAATGGCTTTTTAGAAATGGAACAGATTAAATTAATCTTATAAACCTATTGTATTGATATATTCATATACTCTTCAAAAAATATAGATATGTAATTCCTTACAACAAGAAAACATTAACCAATCAATTTTGTTAAAATTTAATTATCTTTGAAATAATTATTAATACAGTATAATCAATTTGGAAGTTAGGATAGTAATGATACTGATGAATGCTATGATCAGTCATTACAACTAGGATTGCCAATGCTTTCATCAGTAGCACACTTCAAGGAATATTTGTTTTAAATTAATTTTATTACAATAATATCAGATTGAAATTTATGTTAAAATTATAAATTCGTTAATGAAAAATTAAGACTATACAAAATAAATTTTGAGTCCTTTTTGTCTATTATCATCCATTTATTCCAGTCCAGGAACCACCAAACAGCTGGCAACATGAAGCAACACTTCCACAAATAACCGATGAACACAATCAAAAAACTTACAAAATTAAAAATGATCTCAACAACGACCCTTTTCTGTAGGTTACAACGTCTACACATTAAAAACTTATTATAATTCTTCACAACAGCATTCGTGTTATATAATCGCATTTCAGCTGAGAATCCTCTGGTGGATTTCAGGCAGCCTAAGATTAATTTACTTAATTGTATATAGAAGCCCAGGATTATTTTGACTAATTTCATTAATGAAAAATTGTGGAAGTGTTGCTTCATGTTGCCAGCTGTTTTGTGGTTCCTGGACTGGAATAAAAGGATGATAATAGGCAAAAAGGACTCAAAATTTATTTTGTATAGTCTTCATTTTTCATTAATGAAATTAGTCAAAATAATCCTCTGCTTCTATGTAGAATTATATAAATTTGTTGTTTAAAACTTTTCTTTTAACCTGCAGAAGTCATTCCTTGACATGACCTCTTCAGGTTAGTGCATTTGCTATTGAGCCTGTTTATATCATATAAGCTTTATTTATCAAATTAATATTTTGGGCTTGGATTAACTCCATATAATACAATAGCAACTTCTTTATTTTAGATTCTTCTATATGCAATATTAAGATGTCCAAAGAGTTTGTACATTCATTTGAATCTGCAAGCTGAACTTTTATATTTAAATGCCTCTTTACTAAATTAGCAAGTGTTCATTTTGAAGATATAGATATGTCAAAGAAAAGGCAAATGCCATCAAGAAATGATAAATTAAATATTTTGTAAAATAATGATGTAAAAAGAAAAAAAGAATGTAGTAAAATCATTTGGAATATCATCTTTGACACTTCAATTTTGAAGAAACACACAGAAGTTGCAGCACAACTTAGTTCTAATCCAAAATGACATTGCAAAGTAAAAGAAATGAAAAAAAAAAAAAAGAACTAGATAAAGTTGTATTTGACTAGTTAATGGAGGACAGTAAAAATAATCCTGTTTCAAGCTGGATCTTATAGTTATTAAAATAGCTTTTTGCTACAACTTTTCATTTGTGTGTGAATTATTATTTACTTTCCAGTAGTTTATGCAATCAAAACTTTTAGAAAATATTAATTGCATAGTATAAACTCCATTAAAACATAATTTTTATTTTGTGTATCTGAATTCTTCCATTTAGTTTTTCCACAGATTTTCACAAATTTATCATTAATCTCTCTATAATAAACCCTTATATATAAAAATGGCTAGTCTCTTTCATTTTACTACAGAGAAGTTTTACTGTATTTTTATTTCAAGTAATTACTTATGCAAAGGAAGAAAACTTTGGAAGGTAGAAATTTGTTTGATCAACAAATGATCTATGGAATGTGTGCCATGTGGGTTTAGAGACAAGGCACTTCCTGTAAGATTAATAATATATCAGCATAAAATTCTCATGTAGAATACATAATTATGTAACATAAGTGATCTTTTCATATCGTTGCAACAGTAGTTGCATTTAAACTGTAAATTTTAAATAAGAAAATCAAGTTTAGAAGACAAAATTTAAAAATTTTTACATATACTGTACAATTTGTTCATTCTATATGCTACTTGACTTCAAATATAGAAAACGTTTTTACAATAAATTTTGAATTTAAAGTGAACTTTATTCTTTGGTAATATATTCTCTAAAGGAGTCAGTATTGAAGATTCAAATTTTATCTTCATAAAATGCAATTGATATGCCTTACTTGAATTATTTTTCAATGATTTATTTTTTTTTTAATCCAAAATTTTAGTAATTCTTAAATCTCTGCAAATGTATCATTCTCAATTTTTATAATAGATATGAGATACATGACCATACATGAGATATTGCTAATGTCACTTGGAATAATGCCAGAAAATATATAATGTTAAATAGACTTAATCTGGTAACTATTTGGCTTTACTGTTGCTAATAATTATTAGTATTGGTCATATAGCCTGATTTTAAGTTTGGCTTGAATAAAACATGCCTTATAAATAGATTTGTTTAGCTAAATATTGTGTGATTGTTACTTAAATCTGGTAACATTGGTCATTTCTGCTACAACTCATTATAGTGATTTAATAGCATATGTTCTTATGTTCATTTGTATGTTTAATGATTGTTTTTCAAACCACAACTAAACATGGTTATACTCAGACCAAGATTTATTATACTGTCCTTTCCAGAATCATAATTATGTTAAATGCAATAAGGATTTAATATTATCCTCATTCATTGTTTTGGATTTCCAATAAATTACTAAAGATATTTTTGTTCAAATGTGATATTTTATATAATTATAATATTTCTATCAATAAAATTACAAGTATGTGCATGCCACAGTTCCTTATAATAATAATATACAGATATCCCTTATATAACACAGCACAGCACTTCTAGAACAAGTTTGAGAATTTGGGAGATCTTATGTACAAAATTTCACAATTTGTAAGTGTAAACTCCTTTATTTGATAAGTTTTATTCAAGTAATCATGCATGTTGTCTCAAATTTGCTCATAAGTTTAGTATATTGAAATTTTCAATTTGTTTTATTTTTTCGTCAGGTTTAATGAAAACTGTTAGTGGAATTATTTTTCTTCCTTGTCCTAGCTTTCCTATCAACTAGGTGTCATTGTCATTGCTTTCAGATTTTAGCCTTTAAGACTAATCTATAAAACAAAACACAGCGACAAACTTCATATTTAGGTAAGTATTATTAACCTTTTTTAACCGTAGATAAGAAATCATTTGTAAAAATGACAAATAAAATACAGTGGTATCTCAGTACTCAAACTGTTCAATATTCAAACAATTCTGAAGAAAAAAGAAAAAAAAAATTGCTTATTCCTCAATTGAACAAATGCAACCCACTAGAACAAATTTTTGATTAACATATTTTATTTTGTGATACATAAAAAATTTTTATGGTAAAAATGTAAAAATATGAAGACATTTCTGATCAAGATCAACAGAAAAAACCTCAGATGATGATGATGATGATACTTTAACTAAAATTAAGGCATTTCATTTTACAAATGAATATTAATGCATAATACAATATTTTTAATTGTGATTGTTAGTTACATTTATTAAAAGTAATCAATAATTATTTCTTGTAGTAATGAGAAACAATAGTATACTTTTGTTAACTTTTGGAACCTAATCCCATGTTTTGTATTAGTTCTTTGTTTCATATAGCAAGGATTCACATAACATGGTAGTTATGTACTGAAAAAGTGCCATGTTATATGAGGGATACATGTATATATAATTTACAATTAAATTTTAATTAAATGTAAAAATGTAATTAAAAACAGATGATTTCAAATGAAATATTTAAATAAATTGATTTATAAATATTATATTCTATAAGATATTTTAGTTAATAAAAGCAAAATTACACTCTGTATAAAAAATTAATCAATATAGATATTTATGTAAAATATTCTTAATTTGCAAGCACACAAAGCTACAAGAAACTAATAGTAACCATTTTAATAAAATAATATAGTTAATTTTTGTTCTAACAGAATTTAAAATTTATAATAATAAAAGTTGACATTATAGCTAAATTATATTTTAAAAATGATTAATTTAATTAGTTAATTTTTAAACTTTGTCTTCTACTTATTATGTAAATATTCATTGATGGAATACATTTCTTCACTATGTTAGAAAAAGTTCTAGACACATTCCACTATTTAATGATAAAATAAAATGCCATCAGTCATCAGACAAGGATGATACATCAATGATGACAGTACCAGAACCAAGAATTAAAAGAAAATTTTCAGGTCATAGAAATTCCAGGACAATGGTAAGAATTGTTTTGAATGAATTTTGTTGTTAAAATGTATATCGTATCTATAAGTATACAATATTTAATATCTAGATCAAAGAAGCCACATTTTGGGGTGAAAATTTTGTTATGAGTGGGTCTGATTGTGGACACATATTCATTTGGGATCGGTACACATCACAGTTGGTAATGGTTTTAGAAGCTGACAATCATGTAGTGAATTGCTTACAGCCACATCCATTTGATCCAAGTAAGTAAAATAAAATTAAGTCATTCATATAATATTTAAAAATATATTTGTAAACATGTCTTATTTTAAACAGTATTAGCATCAAGTGGCATAGATCATGATATAAAAATTTGGGCTCCTTCACAACAAGAACCTATTTTTGATGAGAAAAAAGCAAAAGAAGTAAGCTGAACATTATTAATGAGGAAGAACATAATTTCTTTGTATGTTTATTTTTTTTTATCAATTCCAGATTATAGGAAGAAATGAAATAATGTTAGAAGAAACAAAAGACACAATCACAGTTCCTGCTTCATTTATGATTAGAATGCTTGCATCGTTAAATAATTTGCGTTCTGCTGGTAAGTAGTTTATTCTATAATAGAAATTTAAAGAAGAAATAAAAATACTTGAAAATTTATCTATTTAGGAGGAATATCAGGATGGAGACGTTTCATGAGGGATGACCGATTATACGAACAATAAAAAGCACAAATTATTGCACCCGTTTGCACAAAGACAGCATTGTCTTCAGTTATAGATCATTGTATATCTTTCTGTGATAACAGAGTTTTCCAAACTTAATTTATTAATATATACAGAATGTAATATATACAAAATATTTACTATATAACTAATAATTCCCCATTCATTAAAATTGCACATTGGCATTTGATTTATTAAAAATAATAATCAGTAAGATTTTGTAATGAAATTGTTGCAAATAGAAAATACAAGCTCAATGAAAAATTATATACTTACAAAATGTATTTTCCTTATACATCATAATTTTCATTAAAACTAGTCTGTAACAACATATTTGTTCATTGTTACTAGTACTTAAATGCAGTAGATAATTTTGTTAGTTGATATTAAAATTTTGTTTTGAATGAGACTAAGTATTCTATTTTGATTATATTTCAAGAATTTTCCATTAATAATAAATGTTCATATGTTTAATTTTAAATCTCAAAAACAAAAAATTTAAAACCAAAGCTTTCAAATTTTATTGCATTTTATAATAAACTAGCTGCAAGATCCCGCTTCGCTGGGTTTTTATTTGTATGTAATAGTATAGTTTTTTTTATATATATAAAAGATTGTTTTTCTAAGTAATCTAGAATCTAGCTGCAAGGACCCGCTTCGCTGGGCAAAAAGTAACGATAGTGAAGATTAAGATAATTACATTATAGCTAATCTTACCCGTTTTCACCGAA